GGGAGGAAAAATTTCTCTCTACCCGTCAAGATTCTTACATCTGATCTGAGAATTAAATTGCCATGAGACGGATTAACAGGAGGGAACAATTACACGTGCCTACAGTTTCAGTAATAAAATTGAGACCCGAAGAAATGATCAAGGCAGGCAGAGTTTACACATTTTAGACAGAGACAATAAACTTGTGAGGAATCAACAGGACAAAGAAATGTTTGGGAGCTGCAATTAGTAAGAAATGCTAAACAGAATTTGGGCCGAGGTAGTAGATTAGTAAAAAGTAACAAGATTTGTTTCTAAAGATTTCTTGGCTGTCAAGGTCATGTCTCTGGCGATGAAGATCTCTCTCTGCTTTCAGGGAGACAGAGGAGGTCAGAGTGTCCTTTCTGTACTGCCTATTTCCTAAGTAGCTTCAGTTCAAAATAATCGGTATGCCCTTGTGGCACATTTTGGGGCAGCCTGCCCTGCCCTGAGTCCCTACAAAAGCATGGCTCTATTCAAGAACTTTCCGGGGCGCCTGGGTGGCGCAGTCGGTTGAGCGTCCGACTTCAGCCAGGTCACGATCTCGCGGTCCGTGAGTTCGAGCCCCGCGTCGGGCTCTGGGCTGATGGCTCAGAGCCTGGAGCCTGTTTCCGATTCTGTGTCTCCCTCTCTCTCCGCCCCTCCCCCGTTCATGCTCTGTCTCTCTCTGTCCCAAAAATAAATAAACGTTGAAAAAAAAAATTTTTTTAAAAAGAACTTTCCACTAACCACCCCCCCCCCCCCCCCCGATTCCTCAGGCCCCACACACCTCGGGAGCTGCTGGTGAAATATACTGCAGGGAGCTGGACAATTGACAGCCCTACGTGGAAACAGAGTGATGGCTAAGGCAGCTGGGAAGGAGGTGTTCTCAGGGCAGGTGTGGAGCCCTGACCTCGCTTCATCCTCACCTTCAGAATTTGTCTCCTGCAAGAGCTGCCTCCCCCTCAGCCGTATTAATATTGCTTCTCAATGTTCCCCAAAATGCCAAGAAGGGGACAAGGATGATGTGACACAAATTGGCCTTCTAGCTTCATAGCTAGAAACTAGCTGGCTCATTTGCAAAGATTTTGAAGTAGAACTCCAAAAACACAAAAGCAATTTATGTGGAGATGCAGCCCCAAACGAACAAACACAAAAATACCTCTGTGTTAACCATAAGAGAATACACATGGCCTAGAGCTTCTTGGCTGTTGGACCTAATGGTGCAGTTTAGAGATCCTTGGCATTAAAGCAATGATGAAAGGTGAATTGTCCTGGGTGTCAATACCAAACCCCAAGTGTGGCAGTATAGGTTGCGATCAAAACGTAGACTATAATAGCATCCATTTGTTTTGAAATATGTGGGCTTTATGCTCGAATGAATCCTCTAGAGAGGCTTGGCTGGTGTAGCGTGGAGGCAGGATGACTAGAGTTTACAGAGGCTGTTCTCTACTCTTGGAGTGAGGAGGTCAGGGGGAAGGGAAAAAGTGGTACCTTTGGTATTGGTTCACTGCCCTGCAGCTCCCTGGGTGCTTTCTCTCCAAGCCTTCCCCTTTCCTCCCCCCTGCCCGTCCACTGGCAAAATGTAGACCATCTGCCCTGGGAGAGGCTCCAGGAACAGCAAGCCTTTCAGGACAATCCATTGACTGGCCATTCATCTACCCTGCTCGCTGATAACATCCAGGCAGCTGCTGCTTCATTCTGCTACAGTGGGAATGTTTACCTTGGACTTTACGAGCTGTGGAAACTGCCAAGTCATGAACCTGGGCTGCCTTTAGTTTACACAAATGCTGAATGGATATTAAGAGTTGGTAACTTGGGGCGCCTGGGTGGCGCAGTCGGTTAGGCGTCCGACTTCAGCCAGGTCACGATCTCGCGGTCCATGAGTTCGAGCCCCGCGTTAGGCTCTGGGCTGATGGCTCAGAGCCTGGAGCCTGTTTCCGATTCTGTGTCTCCCTCTCTCTCTGCTCCTCCCCCGTTCATGCTCTGTCTCTCTCTGTCCCAAAAATAAATAAACGTTGAAAAAAAAAAAAAGAGTTGGTAACTTGTCTCTCACACGGTTAGTGAGGCATTTCATGCATTTACTCATTTACCACTTGCTAAGGACAGAAGTCGTCAGACTTCGTAACAAATGATGTGAAAGGATTCACGGGCGTTAAAAGTCTGTTTACACATTTGCTAAGTTCACGGTTGGCATTGATGACATCTGGGTTGGGTTCAGAATCGATTGCTAGAAACCTGTAGGTGTTTGCTGCCCCTCCCCCGCCATACCCGCTTCATTTAACTGAGCAACTGTTGATGGTCCTTCTCATTAAATGTGTGAACTTCCCTAGCTAGTAAACTTTATCCAGATAAAGAAGTTTCTCACTAACAGTGGTGAGGAAACCACAGTACTTGCTGGTATTGTCATTGGGGTTTTCAGCGTCTTTGAAGTCATTTCTTCTTGACTTTCCCTCCCGGGTCAGTCTTCCGAGAGCGAGGAGTGAAGTACAGAGCGAGGAGTGAAGTACAGTATGTGCGTGCGAGTGAAGGAGAAAGGTAATTCTCTACCTGAACTCCACCTGGAACGTCCCAGACCCTCAGGGCCAGGCACTGGCTCCCTCTTGCTCTTTTCTTCTGTTCCTGTTGTCATTCTCATCTTTATGTGAGGGTTCCCAAAGTGACATCCCACCTTCTGGACTCAGACTTTTACTTTCACACTTGACATCTTTTTTTTTTTTTTTAAATATATATATTTTTAATGTTTATTCACTTCTTGAGAGACAGAGACAGAGTTTGAGCAGGGCAGGGGCAGAGAGAGAGGGAGACACAGAATCTAAAGCAGGCTCCAGGCTCTGAGCTGTCAGCACAGAGCCCGATGCGGGGCTCGAACCCACAAACCGCGAGATCATGACCTGAGCCGAAGTCGGATGCTCAACCGACTGAGCCACCCAGGCGCCCCTCACGCTTGACATCTTTGCTTGAACAACTCACAGGCATCTCTAATGTGATAGACTGATGATTCATACCCCTACTTCCCCCAGATGGCTCATTGCTCATCCTCTGTCTCAGTAGATGGTCCCACTCTCTCCTCAGGTGCTAAAGCCCACCCCCTGGGACTCATCTCTAGTCCCTCTCTCCCACCACTCCTGACCACACACCTCAGCAGGTCTTACCATTTGTATCTCCAAGATCTCCAAGAATTTGTCGTTCTTTTGTGGCCCACCTAGTCCGGGCCAGCATTCTGCCCTGGCTTCTCAGTGGTGTCTCGACCACTTCACTTTTGTCTCCCTCCAATATATATATCACTCTGCTTTGTTTTTTCTCACTCTTATGTTTTCTATCTATTGGTTTCTCCTTGCTCTAGATATTTCCTTCTGAGTTATCTTCCAGTTCGCTAATTTTTTTCTTTAGGTATGTATAAATCCTAAATCCATCCTGCTTTAAATCCATCCATTAAGTTCTTAATTCTGTTACTTTATTTTTCAGTTTTAGAGGTTTAGTTTCTCATATTTTCTTTGTCACTTTTTATCATTTCCTGTACCCGACAGATCTATGAGTTCTAAATATAGTAATCGTAGTTGTTTTATCTTTTGAGTCTGATAATTCCAATATTTGGAGACATTGGAAATCTGATTCTGTTTTTAAATATCAATTCTGTTGTCTCTTGCTCAAAATGTTTTGTTTCTTTTTATGTCTGATTGTATTTGGTGAATTGCTGGTAATTGTACTTAAAATTACTTGTGTATTGACATTTGCTTTTGCGAGGCAATGGAGGTATTTTCAGGCAGGACCACCTAATTCCAAGTTCAAGTTACAGGCAGGACCCACCAAACGGTGTTACCCCTTGGGGGCTGATTTATTTAGGATTCATTCTTTCTTTGAGGATGTTATCTTGGGGTCCCAGCTTATTAGCCTTCCCATGGTGTATAGGCCTGGGCTTTGATTCCTATCATCCTCAATCCCTGAAAATATGAAAATAAAAATTCAAATATGTAGAGATTGGCAAGTACTGTCAGAAGAAATGTGGCTTCTGTGCTTACCCACCTGCAGATTCGTATTTCCTTTCAGTTTTGGCTTGGGAATTTCTTACTACACTGTCAGCAATATACTGATTTTTTTTTTTAAAGACTTTAAAAGTACTTTATTTCATGATTTTACTGGTTTTCAGCTCATGCGAGATTGTTTCAAACAAACTAGTTCACCATTGATAGAAATTTTCATTCCTCATCTTTGTGTAGGTAAAACTTTCTTTTTCTTGATTTATAACCAGTGGAATTTGGATAGTCAGTAGTCAAAACCAGAGTTCAGAATTCTGTAGACCAATTCTTTTCATTTTTTATTGACTCTTTTGAGCTGATAATCTTGCAGACATTTTTGAGAACTTTATGTCTTTCTCCCCATTGGCCATCTTACGATTGTAGGAGAGGAGAAATAATATTCCCTCTATCTTTTAGGTTCTTGGCTGAGACCCCTCCCCCATCCCCCACCCCCATAATAAAAGATAGATTAAGAGGAGAAAAAGAAATAGGAGCTTAATCACATGTATACCTACCGTATACATGGGACAGGCCCAGGAAACTTGAGTAAGTCCCTGAAATGGCCCAAGTCACTACTTAAATACAATTTTCAACTAAAGACAAAAGAAAGACGTTAGGGGAAGGGGATCCAGTTAGGGGAGGTTATCAAGAAAAGCACAGTGTTTTAAGCTGGGGTAAGGTGGTTGTACAGATTTAAGTCCACCTTCTCCATTGATAAGACTTTCTTGCCAGGGTCATCCTTTCCTTCTTGGTACAGGGAAGGCTTATGGGTGGGGATTTCCTTCACAAAAGTACACGTCTCTTACAAAAAGGTAACTTCTACTCTGGTTTTCAACACTTTTCTTGTGTCTTTTGTTTCTTAAAAATTATCGGCTCAAAATAATCCTTATGCCAAAGAGGCGTACCACGGGGTGACATAGTCTGCTCTCCTCCGTGACCAAGAAGTGCAATTTAGTTTGTTGCCTTTTTTGTTCTTATTTGTAGATGCCAATGACTGGCAAGAGTCAGAGGAAGATGTCGAACATATTCCATTCTCCCACACCCGGTATCCTGAGAAGGAAATGGTGAAGAGATCCCAGGAATTTTATGCACTTCTCAGTAAAAGACGGTCTGTGAGATTCATAAGTAATGAGGAAGTCCCCATGGAAGTCATTGATAATGTCATCAAAACAGCAGGTCTGTAACTGTACGTTGTGCTTTTGAGAATGTCCGCTGCAAGTCACAATATTGGAGCACTGCTGAAGTTCAAACACACTGAATAAAGCCTAGAGTGATTGTTTATTTATAAAATCTTACCCTGGTGTTGACTGACTGCCAGAAACATGATTTCTGCTTTCTACAAACTTTTGACTATTACAAACTACCTGAGACCAGATGTGACAACAGTTTAAAACTTCTGAAATTATTGAATATTAGGATCTTTTATTAAGAATAAAAATTTCTGGGGCGCCTGGGTGGTGCAGTTGGTTAAGCGTCCGACTTCAGCCAGGTCACGATCTCATGGTCCGTGAGTTCGAGCCCCGCGTCAGGCTCTGGGCTGATGGCTCAGAGCCTGGAGACTGTTTCCGATTCTGTGTCTCCCTCTCTCTCTGCCCTTCCCCCATTCATGCTCTATCTCTCTCTGTCCCAAAAAAATAAATAAACGTTGAAAAAAAAATTTAAAAGAATAAAAATTTCTGAACATACTATTATGCATTGGAAGAGAAACATCCCCTTAGTTTACCCCCCTCTTAAAATACACGCACACACACACACATACACGCGCATGCACACACACACAGAGGCTCACTCACATTTGTGCATTTCTCTTTTTGGAACCAAATTTTTTAGATTACATGCTCTAGTACTGTTTTCTAATAAACTGGCAAAATGTACCTACATGAATTTGCAAAGTAAACCACAGCAAGACAAACCCATTGTCTTTTTTTTTTTTTAACGTTTATTTATTTTTGAGACAGAGAGAGACAGAGCATGAATGGGGGAGGGTCAGAGAAAGAGGGAGACACAGAATCTGAAACAGGCTCCAGGCTCTGAGCGGTCAGCACAGAGCCCGACACGGGGCTCGAACTCACGACCGTGAGATCATGACCTGAGCTGGAGTCGGACGCTTAACGGACTGAGCCACCCAGGCGCCCCAAGACAAACCCATTTTCAACATGAATTGATATTTCCACAGAGGAAAATAAAATAATTATAGAAAAAAGGGGGGAAGGAGATGTCAGAGAAATCCCCTATTTGAGAGTCTCCTCTGATTGGAGTATTACTCCTATATAAATCACATTTAAGTTCATTTGCAAAGATTATTGCATGGCCATTGTGAATGGGCTTTACGTTTAGCTCTTGACTTGCGTTTCACAATCCAATCATGCTGTCTTGACTGTAGGGAGTGTGGGTGACAACAAGAGCCCCATCAAGCAGGCAGTCCTGACCCCCCTGGTGTAGAGCTTCTGACATTAAATTGCTCACCAGGAAGAATGGAATAGTTGCTTCTGAAATAACGTATTCGTGGGTCCTTGTGGTCTCTGGCTGGGAACGGCGGGCCATCTCTAAGACAGCAGGGTGACACCTAGATCAGAAGCTGGGCCTGGTTGGAGTCTGAAAGGGGATTCTAGTTCCTTGGGCACTGAGATACACTACTAAGCTCTGTACCAGGATCCTGGGGCTGATCCAAGTGTGGGCTGAGGCTTCCCGTAGCCCATGAGAGCTGGGAGACAGGCTCTCGTGTACTGAGCACCCAGGGCCAAGAGTTCTCATGTGTCTCCAGTGGGACCACAAACCCCACAGTGCTGCCTTCAGCGTCCCTGATACAGGTACCAAACAATGTATAGTTGAGTTACTTCTCATGAGTGGTGTTTTCCTTTTATTTAAAGTTTGTTTATTTATTTTGAGAGAGAGAGAAAGAGAGAGAGTGAGCCAGCCAGGGAGGGGCAGAGAGAAAGGGAGAGAATCCCAAGCAGGCTGCACCAGCCCAGAGCTCACCACCGTGCTCGAACCCCTGAACCTCGAGATCATGACCCCAGCCAAAGTCAAGAGTCAGGCACCCAACTGACTGATCCACCCAGGCGTCCCTTTCATGGGTGTTTTAAAAGCTATTTGAGGGGCCCCTGGGTGGCGCAGTCGGTTAAGCGTCCGACTTCAGCCAGGTCACGATCTCGCGGTCCGTGAGTTCGAGCCCCGCGTCGGGCTCTGGGCTGATGGCTCAGAGCCTGGAGCCTGTTTCCGATTCTGTGTCTCCCTCTCTCTCTGCCCCTCGCCCGTTCATGCTCTGTCTCTCTCTGTCCCAAAAATAAATAAACGTTGAAAAAAAAAAATTTAAAAGCTATTTGACCATTTCAATGTTACCATTTTCAACGAGCTTCATGACTCTATCCTTTTCTAAGAATATCAAGGGGCACTTGGGTGGCTCAGTCGGTTAAGTGCTCGACTCCTGGTATCGGTGCAAGTCATGATCTCACAGTTTGTGAGTTGGAGCCCCACATCGATTCTCTCTCTCCCCCTCTCTCTCTGCCCCTCTCCCTACCATGCTTTCTCTCCAAATAAATCAACTTAGAAAAATAATATCAAAACAAACAACATTTTGGAGCATTTGGGCTGTTAGAATTTCCCTTCTGGGTTCCCTTAGTTCCCTTACATAGGAATGTTTTCCCCCCCACATACTTAGAGAAGTGGCGATAAATCCCCATAGCCCTGGAACCACTGGCCTCGACCTCAGTTAGTTGGTTTGTAGCCCCTAAAGTGATGCAGAATGAAACAGAGAGGACAGCCACATACCAGAATCTGTGACCAAGCACTTTGCTCACCAGGTGATTGAACTTCGTTTTCAGCGAGTGTGAGTTACTATACCCATTCTTAATGACCATTCTCACATTTTCGTGTTTCCATTTCTGCCTTTAATGTTATGGATGATAGGAACTGCCCCAAGTGGGGCCCACACGGAGCCCTGGACCTTTGTGGTTGTGAAGGACCTGGACGTGAAACATAAGATTCGGGAGATCATCGAGGAGGAGGAAGAAATAAACTACTTGAAAAGGATGGGACGCCAATGGGTTACAGACCTGAAGAAACTAAGGTACAAGAGTTGATGGGATGATTAACCTCTTCTGTGCCTTAGTTTCCTCATCTGGAAAATGGGACTACCTAGGATTTACTTCGTTATGAAAATTGAATGTGCAAGCCTGCTTGTAAGCACATAGAATGGTGATGACAAGTAGGAAGTGGCATCATAGGTAAACAAACAGGCTTCCACCCAAGTAGTCGTAAACACACCTTTGAGGACTCACTTCGCTTTTCTCCCATCTAGAGTGTAAGATCGTGGCATAAAGATGTCTCGGGACCTTGACTGAAGTAAATTACATTTGCTAAAGTGATAACATCTTCCAAGTAATCTTAGCACATGGTTAGCAAGAGCAAACAATCCGTGCAGATATGGCATCTCTTAGGCATCAGTAACCGTGTGGGCTTCCTTATCTCTAGGAAAGGAGCGTGGGGAAACTCACCGTAACTAGGTTTAAGCCTGAGCCCTCGTGCCCTGGGGGAGGCCCTGCAGGTGTCCATTTTCTCTCATAGCTGCCCCTGCCAGCCACGCGTGGAGCCTGTTTGCCCATGGAGGGGCAGTCATCCCTCATAATGTCTCAGATGCATTCCATAACTTCTCTGTCACTTTTGTCATCACGGCCCGTCCGTCACCTTCCATTGTTTAGACTCTGCTTTGTCATTTACGGAGTCCTCTTTATAAGCACGGCCCTCCCCACAAAGGCCACTTCCTTTCCCCTCCAGCGCGCTCCGAGGCTGAGTGTGAGAAGGGACAGTGGGCAGAGATGTTGGTTTTTCTTTCTGAGAAGGGAAGCTTGCTCTAGTCTTTGGCATTTGGAGTGCAAGGGCGCTCACACCGCTGGTCCCAGCCGCAGGCCTTCGGTGGCCAGTCCTGGGGTTTTATGGGGTGTTATCCGACACCCCAGTGTGACACAAGCTTGTGATAAGAGAAAAGCAAGAAAAGGCGACCAGATTGCAGCCCTGGGGGCAAGGGAGGAGTATTCAGGGCTGGGTGATGGGAAGAGGGTCTCTTGGCTCTGTTCCTGTTTCATTTATTTGGCCCCAGAGGTCATTTTCTTTCCTAAGATGTTTAAACCCTAATTAAACAGACGCCCTTATGGAAGTGTAACTTATTACCATGCTCTGGAACTAGCACAGACTATTAATAATAAATATAAAAATCTCACTGCATATTCATGGGAAAAAGGGGATGGATAAAAGTTGAGTTCCTACCCTTAGAGAGATGTCCTGCTCTATGCGTGCACAGTGCTTACAAAACGCTGCTGGCCCCTGACGTTTTGCCCAATGAAGGCAGAATTAGTCGCTCTCTTGTCTCTGTGCTCAAAGCCCCTAATAGGTACCTCCTGTGCATCTAAAATGGCCATTTCATCACATAGCATTTTGCTTATTGGCTTGCTTTTCTTCTCATTGCATAGGCGATATTTTAGAAGCCTTATGGACTTCCTTTGCGGGCAATACGTACACGCGCATATATACATAAAACGCTAGGGGTCCAGGTTTAAAAATGTCTTACACCATCGAGCGTAGTGCGGTTGCAGAGTAGGCAGTTGAATAAATGTTAAATTGAGTTGCAAGTGAACATATATCCTGACATCCTAGGCAGAAGGTGCTAGTTGTCCCTTTATTAATAAGTCTCACTGCCGTGTTTTTATCCACGGTCATGTGATGTCATAATAAATTCTTGTGAACCTGAGCAAGCCAGAAATATTAGATACCAGTGTGCATTTAGACCAAAAAGAAAAAAAAATAAGTACAAAAATCATTAAAAAGTATTAATCTGCATTTGAACAAAGGCACACTGCTTCATCTCTGTCTTACATTAATTTCTTTTGAATTATTCACTGCAAGATAATATCGGTGACCATAATAATGCTCACACACACACAGCAATGTGTACTGGGTGCTTTTCTAAGCCCTTAATATATTTGACTGATATCACCCTCACGATCGCTGTATGAGGTGACAGCACGTTTTACATATGCGGGAACTGAGCCACGGGAGGTCAAGCATGTTGCCCAGCATGACAAAACCCGTGGGCTCCCGGAGTTTATCTTCTTTCTGAACAAGCATTCTTCCTCTTCCGCGAGGACAAAGAATTGGTAACAGCCCAATGTGAGGAAACTGGCTGAAGCGTGAGAAGGCAGCTTGGAAAATGTGACCTGTAGAAGTTAATAGCATAAGAGGAACCATAGAAAACCGCACAAGTGAGTTTAGTATGTTTGAAAATAGTGACGCACAGCTAGGCTTAAGGTGAAATCACCTCTTGTTTATTAATGACATAATGTGTCCCAAGAAAAATTCTAATGTATATCATTGCATGAGTAGCACTTTGAGTATCTGAGCTAGAATAGAGCTTTCGCCAAATGTATGGATTAGGGTAACGGGATAGAGAAAGATATGCTCCTTAGCTGGCAAGCAAAACTCTCAACTTCGTATTTATACCTCACGTGAATTATCTCCCACTCTCACAAAGTTCACTTCCTTTTCTCCATCACTGGGCTGGCAGCGTCACCATCTTTGCACCTGTCATTTTGGTTAAACTTCACCATCACCTTCTTCTTCTCCTTTGCTTCTGTACCAGACCTGTCAGCTCCAGCTTCTACGCCTTCCCGAATTCCCTTGGCCCATTGCTATCGTCTACCTTCTGGTCCCCCTTGAGCTTGCCCCTTGCCCACACCAATCTACCTCTTCCTAAAACAGATCTGATCACGTGATGCTTCTGCTCAGAAGCTTATAGTCCCTCTCCATCACCTCCCACACGAAGTCCAGGACTCTGCAAAATCCTTGCGTAACCTGCCAGCCCACCCGTGCTCTACTTCGCACCGCATCCTCCAGCCTGTTGGGCTTCTGGAAACTCCCCGACCTGCCAAGCGTCCTCCGTCCTGACTCTGCCTTTACTCGTTGACTCACTAAGATGTCTTCCCCAGTGCCCCTCTCCGTCCAGTCTCCAGCACCCCACCTCGAGGGAAACTTTGGAAACGCTCTTGTAATATTCTTATTCAAAATTACCAACACTTCATTTGGAGAGTTCCTAATGCAATTGACTTATATTTCTTTAATATCACCTACCGGGTTTTCGCTTGCTAAATTTTACACACTGCCTTCTGGGTTATAGGCTCCTTGTTTGTGCCTTTCTGCATTTCATGTGCCTTGCTACACCAGGCCCTCGTTAACACATGCTTATTGAATTGAACGACCTTGGACAGAACACTATAGCGAAGACACAAATAAACAACCGAAAGTCCTTTTTTTTCCATTTAAACATAAAGGACAGGAAAGTGCTTTTATTTTAGATGTAAATAAGATAAGGTTGTAAAGGGAAAAAAAAAGACCGAAACTCATTAAGAGCAAAGAGTCTCTGGATTATCTTTCTTTCCCTTCAGAACCAATTGGGTTAAGGAGTACTTGGACACAGCACCTGTTTTGATTCTGATTTTCAAACAAGTACATGGCGTTGCAGCAAGTGGCAAAAGAAAGGTCCACTACTACAATGAGATCAGTGTTTCCATTGCTTGTGGCCTCCTTCTGGCTGCTCTTCAGGTATGTTACCCACCCCCCCATCCCGCCCCAAAGAGAGGAGCGATCCTGGAAAGCCAAACAGTGGCCTTATTCACAAATTTCAGCGGAGTTTCTATTTGAGAGACACTTGGAAGCTGTCCATCTAAAGTTGAACGCCTAAGGCACGTAGCTTGGTGTGAAAAATGCCCCTGGAAACCTGGACTGGTAGGTATGCTGCTGCAACGCGCTGGAATCCTCTTCTGGAAACATCACTTGAGGCTCAGAAAAATGCCCACTGCGTTTGCCTTCGTCTGTAACGACACGAAGCTCCAAGGGTTTCGGCAGGCATGCTGCCTTGCTGGGCTCGCTGTCGTCCGAGCCGGTGGCGTGATTAAAAAGCTATAAAGAGAAGGCTCTCCTAGAGCTCCTTCCCTGGAAAGTCGAGCTTATGTGGCCTGGCACTGGAAAGACATCTATGTCCTTTAAACAATTCCATCTCTGCGGTATGTGGGGTCACTGGAGCCATGCTAAGCATGAAACAGAGCAGATTGAGGTATACCTTTTACAAGATTCAGTTCATTCACTCAACTCCTTCTGTGTGGCAGGTCCGAGGGGAGGGGGGAGGGCACCAGGGAGGTCTTGCCTCATGAACTGTGTGTGCATTCTGGCGGGGACTGGGGTCCTGGGGTAGAGAGAGACAGTGGGCACATAAAAGAAATGAGGCAAACAAGATGGTAAGTGCGAGTGATCATACTTCCAAGCGACAATCGAGTCCAAAAAACTACACGCTTCTTCACTAACTCGAAGCAAACTTTATATGGCGAAAATACCTTGCAAAATACAGTCGTGGCTAACACAGAAGAGGAATAGGCTTTTAGATTACTTGAAAAGTTTACCTAGAGAAAGTGGCATCTCACTTCCTCCCTAATGCTGTGAGCATGCAGATAAAGGAAGTGATGTGCAACGTCGGACCACGCGGACGCACCGTTCGTTCATTCATCTGCCAGACGAAGCAAACGGTGCAGAGATTTTTGAGCTCTGAATCAGCAGCCTTGTCACGTTAGTGTTGAGTTTGCTGCCCTCTAGCGTCGCCTCAGGCATGATTCTGAGCGTAGGTCCTATTTGCGAGGGAGGAAAGAGGAATCTTCCTGATGATGCCCCCCATCTGCACAGATCGCATAGCGACCGGACCAAAGAGCCTGTCCTGTAGGACTCTCAAAGGCAGTTCTAGAACTTCTGTCTGGCTCAGGCTTAGCGGTGACCCTCTGATTGGGAAATTAGAGGGGAGGGAGGTAGCTTGGGAAGCATCTTGAAGCTGCATGTGATTTTTATTAGGTGTTTATTATCCGGAGGGGCTCGTAGACAGGTTGAGGGAGTAATGCCAAGCTACTGAGCCTCTGCCACTGGACGTAGGTATTTTCGGCTGGGGTGGTCCTCCGCCTGCATTGCTGGTTATATAAGCATAGGAACTCCCTGTTGTTTGAGGGTATACCCCTTCCTTGGGTATATTTGGACCCCCCCAAATTTCCTTCCATGAAATAACCATTCCTGTGTCTTAACCATCAATGATGAATAGGACAAGTATTTTTCTTCTTCAAGAAGCTTCTTACTGTTTGGTTCAAAGCATGTGGCGACTAGGGAGGTTGAGGAGAACAGGTGAGGTTTAAGGTCCACCTGCCCAAGCTGGCAGGCTCTTTGCTGCCCAGCTGCAGGGAAATGATGGGACAAGCAGGCCTAATGGGGACCGGAATGTCCCCAGGCCACAAGCAAAGTCGTGACTTCCATTGAGTTGACACTGTATCCTCTCCCCTTCTGTCGTAGAATGCGGGACTGGTGACTGTCACCACCACACCTCTCAACTGTGGTCCCCGTCTGAGGGTGCTCCTGGGCCGCCCCACAAACGAAAAGTTGCTGATGCTCCTCCCTGTGGGATACGCCAGCAAAGAGGCCACGGTGCCCAACCTAACACGGAAGCCTGTGGATCAGATCAGGGTGACCGTGTAGGCGGGAGCCCATCTGGGATGCGGGCAGACGACGGCCTGGTCCTCTCTTGTCCCTCTTGGGTCTGCGGGCTGCTCTTCCCACGGGTGTTAGGTCTCCCCAGCACCTCCCTCCGCTCAAGAAACCTTTCCACAGGAGTCTGAGAAGCTCCTAGCGTGACGAGGTGAACATATTATAGTAAGAGGACGACAGGTGCTTGTCTTCCATTTCCCACCTGCTTTGGGGATGCATGCAAATTTTACTAAGAACAATTTCAAGATTTTAAAATTGTTTCGGAAAAATCCCTGGTGATTCTTTCTCTCTTACACCCTAAAAGCTCGTATACAGCAAAGATTCATCAGAGAGTTTAATGTGGCCCCAAGAACTCAGCTACGTGATCGTTCTTGAATTTACATTTAGACTAATCAGATACTGGCCTCTGCCCTCTGATTTCTGGCGGCTCTTAGGCCACGGATGGGCTTTTGAGATCCACTCTTTTACTGGACTTCATGGTCATCCTGCCAGTTTTTAGCAAGCAACTAGCAAACTAATGAAAGCGTCCCAGGCCCGGAACAGACGAGTGCACGCCGAGCAGGTGAACCTGAACTGGCAACCATGCGAACACGTAAGGGGACAGTCGTGTCATCCGGCGGTGTGTTGGAGCTGGCTCGCCCCAGCCTGCGGAAGCGGATTGTTCAATATTCAGGAATTTGGTGAGCCAGCTGTTAAACCATTTGCTGCTTGGAATCTCCCGTGGTGGGAGTATTTGTACCACCGCAGTTGGCTGATACTACAATTTTTCTCGAAGAGCACTGTTTTCCATACCCCGCACTGAACCGTGTCTCTCTTCTTTTCTGCTCCAGACCACAGAAGACGCATCCTTTTTGTGCAGATGGCACTCAAGCAGTTTGGGACTGGTGGGGTGCGAGGTGTTAGGCTGGGAACGCCAGACCCCATCTTTCACCGGTCGTTCCGTCTTCCCTTCCCGGGACTCTGCACACACAGGCACATGTAGCTCAGATCCGTTTTTGTCAAGCAGCCCTACACAGCTCTTTCTCCCCTCCACCACCCTTCTCCTCTTCTTTTTCCTCAGTTTCCTCAAGAAAAATCTCTTCGGCCTCTTTTCATTCCACGTGAGAGTACACAATTTAGGAAAAGCCCTTGGTATTTTTGACAAGAGTTAGAGCTGGAGACAAACCTGTATCAAAGGAGGACTTCCCCCCCCCCCCTTAAAATATAATTAGATGTTACAAGAACCTGTGACCCTCGACCTCCCAAGTCCTTCGAAGGATCTAGAAGTCTCCTTTGGAATCTCCAAAGTCTTCCATCTGTGTTTTCATTGTTCTCTAAACATGCTTTTCCCCAAGGCTACAGATTTTACTAAATGAAAATTTTCTTACATCTGTTTCCAGCTTTTTAATTAGTGTTGTGACAGGTGTTTGTCCTGTACTCTTTATTGTAAATGAGCATTGTTTTAACTAACTATGGCCTTATTAGTCTTACACGGGCTGCGAGCCTATGGGACCCTAACCACCGTATTTCAGATTTTTTTAAATAGGGAAAAGATACTCTGAATTCCAAGTATCAGATTAATAAACAGACTTTGGCGTTTCAATGCAAAGAAATTGGGGGGGCGCCTGGGTGGCTCCGTCGGTTAAGCAGCCGACTTCAGCTCAGGTCATGATCTCACGGTTTGTGAGTTCGAGCCCCGCATCGGGCTCTGTGCTGACAGCTCGGAGCCTGGAGCCTGCTTCGGATTCCTTGTCTCCCTTTCCCTCTGCCCCCCAGCCCCTCCTTGGGAGCATGCTCTGTCTCTCTCTCAAAAAATAAACATTAAAAAAATAATAATAAAAACAATAATATTTAAAAAACAACAAAAAGAACAATGCAAAGAAGTTGAAGTTATATTTATAAACTTCCGTTTCTCATGTGTTGAAACTGTTCGAGCCCAGAGAGCTATGTGCTGGTTTTAGTTCCGCTGAGGAGGGCTGAGGTGTATAAGGGAATCTTGCCTCCGGAGTGTGGGGTGAGAGGGAATCAGGTCAGTGGTGGGAGTCTGGGTGCAAGTTTAAGTACAGAGCCACTTGAGAGGAAAGAGAAAGCCCAGCCACACCAGTCAGGAGCCCTCAGGCAACAGACTCCGAAGGCCTAGAAACCTTCCAGATCACTGTGCCCAGAAACACAGCCCTGGTTTTCATAGACGCTGAGCAAATGTGCAAAGGCACATAGTCTGGAAGCACTATAGCCATTCCCTTCGGGTTCGGGGAGGAGGATGGAATTACAGTCAACCTTTGAACAACACGGATTTTTTAGATAAATACACCAGTACTATAAATGTATTTTCTCCTCCTTATGATTTTTTTAGTTTTTAAATGATTAAGAAATTTTTTTTAATGTTAATTTAATTTTGGAGAGAGAGAGAGAGAGAGAGAGAGAGACAGAGCGTGAGTCGGGGAGGGGCAGAGAGAGAGAGGGAGACACAGAATCCGAAGCAGGCTCCAGGCTCTGAGCTGTCAGCACAGAGCCCCATGAGGGGCTCGAACACATGAACTGTGAGATCATGATCTGAGCCGATCCCAGGAGTTGGAACTTAACTGACTGAGCCACCCAGGTGTCCCCTCCTCATAATTATCTGAATAACATTTTCTTTTCTCTAGCTTGCTTTACTGTAAGAATACAGTATATAAAACATATACCACACCAGATATGTGCTATTTATGCTATCGGTAAGGCTTCCTGTCAACAGGATATCTGTAGCAAAGGTTTGGGGGAGCCCAAAGCTAGATGTGGACTTTGGGCTGTGCGATGGCGGGGGGCGGTGCGTGGTCAGTGTCCCTAACCGCTGTGCCATTCGTGAGTCAACTGTAACAGTGGTTCTTAGTCTAGACAGCATAGCATAGATGACCTGGTTTCTCTTCTACTCACCGGCTGGGTGACCATGAAAAACTGGCTCTTTTCAGGCCTCATTTGCTTCATTTGCAAAATGACAGCAAAGGCGGCATTGGCCTTGGGATATCGGGCGATTGTGTGTGATGAGTCACTTAGTTCCTAGCACCCGGGAGGGAACACTTGGTGCTTAGCCTTGATCGTTGGCTCCTGATAGCAGCAGGAGCAGTGGCAGGAGGTGGTAGGAGAAGATATTCTTTTTTTTTTTTTTTTTTTTCAACGTTTTTATTTATTTTGGGACAGAGACAGAGCATGAGCGGGAGGGCAGAGGGAGACACAGTCGGAAGCAGGCTCCAGGCTCCCCGGGCCGGCTGAGCGGGGAACTCGAACTCCTGGACCCCTGATCGTGACCTGGCTGAAGTCGGCCGCTTAACCGCCTGCGCCACCCAGGCGCCCCAGGAGAAGGTATTCTTACAATTATTAATACTAGGTGCTGCGAGTGTTCAGCAAAAACATAGACGACACCCCTTAAGAATCTCGTCGTTAATGCACTCAATAGTCTTACTGGCCTAGCCTGGGTGGCGCCGGTTAGCGTCCGACTTCACCGAGTCCGCGATCTGCGGTCCGTGAGTTCCGAGCCTTGTCGGGCTCTGGGCTGATGGCCTGGAGCCTGTTTCCGATTCTGTGTCTCCCTCTCTCTCTGCCCCTCCCCCGGTTCATGCTCTGTCTCTCTGTCCCAAAAAGAAATAAACGTTGAAAAAAAAAGTCTTACTATCTGAGCTTATCACTATCTTGGCTTGAGTTAGGCGGTGTTAAGCATTTCGGCTTGACTTGGGCTGTGTCTGATTGGGTTCTGGGAAACTCGACAGGGGTCCATTTCACGAGTCATAAAAAGACCCATTTTCAGGGAGGAGGGCCGAGGACGTAAAGTAAGATCCCATGACGACAATCAATATCAGAAAAAAAGAGGCAAAAAAAAAAAAAAAAAAAAAAAAGAGGCCAAGCGCAATGTGGTCTGGAGTCTGCCCCCCCAGGTCCCAGTCCATAGAGCCTCGCTTACGTTCCTGGCCAGCTTCCGGAGCTGCTCCTGAAGATGCCTGTGTGATGAGTACACAGCCCGGCCATGGAGTCCAGTTACGTGCGGGGCTGTGTTCAAAGAAACATCAGACAGGCGTCGGTGGTAGAGCGGTGAGCATAGCTGCCTCCCAAAGAAATATCCGATGGTTCTTGCGTAGCCAATAATACCTGACAAGCAATTAATATCTTTATTGCCTTCGCTTGACGACACAGCAAAGGAAGTTCCAGAACTTAAAGGCCTCCCTCCCTTCTTCCTGTCTCTAAATACGTACCTCTAAATACGTAAATCCGGGTCTAACCAACAAAGTGGGGCAGCCGCTCCCAAAGTCCGTATCTTCGCCATTCGTTAATCGTCTCAAACGCTTTGCACACATTCTCTCTACACGGGCCCTCGTATATCCCTTGTTCCTTCCCGCTTTCTGTGTCTGTTTTTCTCTCTCACCTTTCAGCCTTGTACACCCAGCTGGCCCTTCCAGCCCTTCGGGCTTTCCCCCACCTCCGGCACACATCATTCTGATCCTGGTTTGAAAGGCCTAATAATAGCAGGTGAGGGGAGGCTTTCCTCAGCCGGTCAGGGAGAGGAGAGGAGCTGGTGCAGCCTTGGATAGCAGTATGACCTTCAAGGTCACGTCTAGGAAACAAGGGTGGCGGTGGGCGTAGCAGTTAAGCACGTGAGCTTAGGGGCCACACGGCCTGGGTTGATAATCCCCGTCTTACCAGAGATCCCAAGAGAACAGTCTTATTTCTTCGCTCACCTGGGTCCCATGTTAATGGAGGCTCTTATCTGCTGTACAAAATGGCGGCAGTCATACTTACCTTGCAGAGTTCAGCACAGTCCCTGGTACCCAGCATTCCTACACAGGAGGTGTCTTTATTGTGCGGGTGGTGGTAGATACCACTGTCATCGTAAGGCAGCCCTGCTCTGGGATCCGGGTAAGCGAAGGTAAGAAGCGTGGGTGAGAGACACCCCCCTGTTCAGGGGAGAAGCCTGACTATGGCAGCTGCATCAGCCCCCAACAACCCCCCCCCCCAACCGCCTCACCCCCTGTCCCCTCCCAGAG